ATTTATCACTGCTGTCTATGGGAATTTATTTGTAGTGGTGCACCCTGCGCTCTCAGCAATCCTGTTACTTCTGAACGCGCCCTCAACGATCCTGTTAATTCTAAGCGTGCCCTCAACGATCCTGTTAATTCTTAGCGCGCCCTCAACGATCCTGTTAAATCTGAGTGCGCGTTGAGCAACTACACAGAGACCGGAACTGGTTTACTAATACTGAATGTAGGGCAAAAATCATTTTATGGGATTGCATAATTCGATTAGGACAAACCTGTAAAATATTTGTCCAGTCTTTTTAAATGAATGCAAAACGATAAGCATTTCCTTGTGAGCGGTTATTTTGAGCTCTATTCATTTGTTTCAATGCATTTATATTTCTGCCAGTGCTTCATTCGTTGTTTTTTCTTTTTCAGGCAAACAGAGTATAGAATCAAGAAATCCAACAATATTTTCTTCGTGTTGTGGATTTTCAGAACTTTGCTAGAGAACTGAGTCAAGAGGGAATCAGGTCTAGCATAATCAAATAACAATGTACTCGATTTTGGTCTGTTTTATGACCTTCTGTTTCTGTTTAATATGGGTTCACATATTTCTAGTTTAGCGAAAATAGGCCAGATGATGTTTTACATTTGCTGTTCAATTCTGATCAAAGTTGATAGTGGGCGCCATTCACTTATGCTGGAACAAGTTCATTACTTCACTGTTTCGCCTGTGTTCGGCTTCACCTTATAAAACCTAACCTCGGCGAGCGACAAAATTGAAGTTAAATTGTGTTACTTTGGTCATAATGAACTGGACCACTGGATAATGTTTTAGGCTTTTTTTACAATAGTGGAAAAAACTGCGCTGCGTGTGGATTTCTCAATAAGCGTATGGTTGAAAAAGACTATCGGTATCATTCAGTTTCATTATCATGCAGTAATTGGAAGCCGGAAACTATGTCTGTGCATATCAGAGAAATTATGCCACAACTCACTATGTGAGCATGGGCGTCGCCAGGATTTTTCGGGGGGAAACCATTTTGTCCCCATTGACTGGAGAGTTTCATGAGGGCAAGCTAGGGCTAGTGGTGATATATTTAAAGCAAATCCCGAACTTTCATCCCATTTCCTCTCCTCTTAATATTTACTTGTTTTTCCAACTTTTTTTTTAATGTTCCCCCATTCTTTCAAGGGGCAAGTATCCCTCTTGCCCTCCCCTCGCGACGCCCATACGTGTGTTTTCTTCCAAAAATGTACTTCACAATTTGAAACTTTCTCAAGTAAATTTCATCATCCGAAATATCCTACGTTTTGATATTCACGTCACCTGATGTTTTCCGTCACCAAAAAAAAAAAAAAAAAAAGGAGGGGGCACGTTCCATGGACTTATCAGCAAACAATTCCAACACGAGACCGTTGCCCTCCAGAGGAGTCAAAGGTCCACTATAAATAGGTTGATTGAAACCAGCTTAGTCATACATAAAGGCAGAGCCGGTAGCGGGGTACTGTGTTTGATCATAGATCCGTCAAGTGTTATAAACTCTGGCCCTTGGTAGCTCGCCGCTCAGCACTAACTTGAAGACAGTAATCATGGATATTAAACCGGTGTTGTTTCTGCTTCTGGTCGCTGTGGCATTGGGTGAAGCCCAAAAGAAATGCTGTTTCCCTGACCAATTTGAAATCGTCGACGGTGAGTCTTAACTTTCAACCTCAAGAAAATCATTCCAATGTTTGAATTAAATTTCCTGCTACCTACTCAGTGAAAACTGTCGTTGTTCGTTACCTCCCCTATGCATCTTACAATTGTCGAGTAGTTTTTGAAAGAGGGAGGGACTACTCTTATATTTTGTAAGCTGCCAGGATAATGTGCACATTATTAACCAATACCTTCGTGGTTCTACGCGATTTTTCTTAGAGGGTCACTCTAGCTCTACAACCGTTGCATGTCTACTTATAAACATGAACCGATATCTTCCTTTAGCTCTTTGTAGAGCCTGATCGTTTTGGCAATGCTTATAATCAGATAAATAACCTGTTAATAAAAATAACTTCCGAAAAATCTTTGTTAATTACCCCAGAGTCCACCCCTTTTTGTATATACTTTCCAGGTCAGATCGTGGGTTTCGTCCAATCGGGACAAGGTACGGCGGTGACGCAGTCTTCGCAGGCGGCTTTTGACTACACCAACAGACGAACTGCTGCATTGCTTCAATCCTCGGGTTCCAGATATCAAACCATCACGGACTACAATAAGGTTAAAATGGAAACTGCTTTCTTTCTTTCTTGTAACACACTTTGTCAGAACGCGTGAAATTCCTCGTCAGGTATCTTCCCCCACACTTTTCAATTTTTGCCATCCCAAACGTTTTTGGGGTTATAAACAGGAGTGCTTCAAGCTCTCTTAACAGTGTCAAGTGACGCCATGGATTTTTATAGCAAACGTAGTTGATATTCAGCCCCTTACCATGTTTCATACAGATTAATATGTGTTACAACACAAACAAGACTTTAATTCCTTTTTTCATTAGAAGAAAAAAGAGGGTTGGAGTTTTTCAATTCTTAGAAAACACTCTCATCAACGGTTGCACGAGGGCTTTATCACATAAGGCACTTCTTGCTAGTAGAACACCGGTACAAAAATGTATCCTTCAAAACCACCCGCCAACAATGTTTTGACAAAATGTTAACAAATTATATTCCGAACGAGCCATTAAACATGGAACGATCTACTTCAGAAAATATAGAAAAGTGGGATGCATACATTGTACACAAAGCTATTGAGACACGCCTATGCTGTCTTAGTATTACTAATTTATTCAGGCTTTGAATGATACCATGCTTTGCCTCATGAATATGGAAATCTTCAACATCTAAAATGTTGAAATTACTTCTATATACTTCAACAAATGAGGTGAAGGTTATCGTAACATGGAACTAGAGCTGTGCGTCGTGTACAAATCCTATTAAACAATCCCATTACATGTGCGCGATTCCTTCCTGTAAAACTACAGTATGTGTTCACGAAAAGTTAAGCGTACCGTTCACGATTGGCGTTGATTTTTTGCCACATTTTGTCATTTTGTGATATGTTTGTGAAAGTTTTCTCTTTTTTTATCAAACCCGAATAGGCGGTCATGTACACCATCAACTTGACTTTGAAGACATGCCAGAAAACAGCACTCCCAAGTAGGACAATGGACCACTGCGTTCCTAGTAAGTAGCTCCCCGAGCGAATACTCCAAGACGATGGTGACATATTATTGACAATCTGTCACCGATCGTCTCAACGATCCCTTTCAGTGGAACACCTCAATAGTGCCATAAAAAAAGAATGTAGTATATGTAGTTGTACGTACCATAGTACATATTTAGCCCGAGAAGGAGCGGAAAAAATCACATAGGCCTATTGTATCTCTTATGCATACAAAGCTTCGTACATGTAGTAATACAGAATCCGCCGCGCTTTCAGTCGATACTGCGAGCTGTGACTTGCCCATACTAAATACAGTGCGTTGGTAGAGTGGTAGACACTCCATTTGTCTTTTCTGTCGGTTCATGTCGATAAGGTTTGCACCACGACGGGGAGGTACCACCAAACCTTGACAGCATTTGACACTGTTTGTTGAGCTTACGTCATGGATTTTTGTAATCACGTGACATATGAGCATGCCCTGTGTCCATAGGGCTTCGTCGCTGCTTATTATTTTTGTTGCGTCTTTAGCTGTGAGACTGGGACTCTGCCAGTTGTAACACGTGAATACAGACAGACTAGCCGTAGCCGCAGAAGCCTGTTTCAGACACGGCCTTATTCTGTCTTTCCTATGTAGGTAACGCCACCTATAATGGCCCTTTCTATCTTGGAGATAACAAGCTCACTGGGGATTCCTTCAGCTTCAGCCTAAACGTAGAAGGTGATGTAGTTAACGGGACCCTGTCTGTCACAGAGGGGGACTGTATCCCGGTGGGTGAAACGCTCTTCGGAACATTTGGAGGAAGTAAGCATGTAAATGATGTGTATGTGTTTTACTGGCGTACTTCGCAAAGTTGGACTTCCGTCTTTGATCTCGAGACAAATCTCGTCAGATGCTAATTTTGAGTCATAAAGCTTCAAACTATTAATCAATCTAGATCACATTGGTTCTTTTCACTAAAGTTAACGAGTATCTGCGTACAGAGAAGTGACCCCAAGAATCTGACTTTTGATATGATATCTCAAAGAACGATTTAGGCCACGATTTTATGTCCATGAATAAATACGATATGTACTTTCAAGCGCTCTATAAATCATTTTGGAGTCTTCACAAACCACATTAGACATTACAGCCGTGCGTAGGTTGTCTTTTCGTTCGTTTGGTAGTTCACGACAAAATCTAGAGTTCATTTTCTAAGAGAAATGTTATAACTCCATCTTTATTGGTTTTATGTTAATCTTTCTTCAAATGTGTGGGATCAAAACTTCCTGAAACGCTTACAATTTAGGCCTATCAAGGAATATTTCTTGTTGCATTGTTCTGTTTCTAGGACAAACGCTGATTTTAGCGGGATATGTCAACTACTCCCCTGGGATCAAGGACCCTTCCAAGTATTTCAACGTTCCCAGTTACTGCTCTACGGTAAGTTCACAACTTCATATTGGCTGATAACAGAGACCGCTTTTGAATGACTTGGCTAGGGCAACTTTCATAGGCACACGTGTTGTTTCCAAACGTAGCCTAGTAAATTGGACACAGCTTGTCCAAACAGAACCCGTTAGCGTGTCCGCTTGTTTTATTGTATAGCTTATTTTGTAAAGTGAACCCTTTAAAACTTTTTGATTTTTTTCTGACGATGATATTATTTACTGTACAAACAATAGTTTTATTTGTTATTTATTTAGGGGTCTTTCAGCTCGGAACTGGATGAGGCGCTTGCTCACGTGACCCGTACTTTCCTGTTCTAAGTGCGCCCCCCTCCCAGCGACTGTACGTAGACCGGAACCGATTTATTACTTGAAGTTAAAGCAAGAATCAGTTTGATTTGATTGATGCAATTCTTTAATGGTACATGTTAAATGAAAGGCAAGCAACGAAAAGTCTACTTTTTAAAAATAAGGGTCAATGTCTTGAGCCATTTGTAAAGAGCGTTACTGACATTTTGCTCTCCTTGCACGATGTCAATTTTTCTCACTTAATTTTTGAGACAGCAGAAGCACAAATTTCAGAACTTCTAAGACGGTTCGCAGATTAACTCATTCCAATCTGGTCATTACCCTCTATCGGTAATCTTTAGTTACAACCTTTGTCTACTTCCACACTCATTATGGTATGCCTTCTGTACATCCATGCTAAAGCTCGTGATTTGCTACCATTTGTTGGATGGATAAAGCTCCTGGATTAAGCTTTATTTCAGAGGAAGACTGATGAGAATTGTCAGTTGCAGGAATTGAACATTTAAGCAGGCCAAAATGTTGTAATAAGAGACGTATTTGGGCGCATGCAGAAGAATTGCTTTAGGGACATTATATGGAGGAAAGTCATGTTTTCAACATTTGATTTCCTATGAGGTTTGGATTCGGTCTTCTCAAAGCATGTTACTATAATTCCATTATTTCTTCATGAAGAAAATTAGTAATGTAGAAAGGTACAAAGTACTACACAGTGATTGAATCGTAAATTAAAAGTCAAATCCGTCAGTTAAGATTGATGTGTTTTCTTATGTGTCAACTCTTAACATAATGGTGTGTGTTTAATAAGCAAATAGTTGATTAGTTAGACAAAGGTTTACGCAAAAAAAGGAAACATAATGTGTGTTATTAGAAATTTCCAAAGCCTTTTTATGATTAAATGATAAAGAATGAGACCAGTGGCATAAATTTGTGTCGGAAACATCTATGCAGAATCTTACCTCAGAATGGAATATCTATGGCTTTTTCTTTGTTGAATATTGAATGCGTTTTAGTTGTTGGGAAGTAGGAAAAATTCTTCACAAAAGTGGGGGATTATTCAAAAGGCCACTGCCTCCTCAAAAGTGGGGGCGGGTAATTGAATATCCCCATCCCCCGGGATTCACGCCCATGAATGGATCACATACATGAACATGGTAAGCGTACATCTGGGTTTGGAGGTCAACTCACAAGTTCCCTTGAAAGCAGACTTGAAAAGTTAACATTAATATCTGGATGTAGCAACGCCCCCCCCTTTTTACATTGCGTGATTCTGCACTGCAATTAGTAGAAGGCTTCTGATTGGTTACAACACAGAGGTCAGTATGTCGATCTGGCATAATTGATTGCTAAATCTGCACGCATGATCATGTGCGAGCTGTGGACTTAGGTCTTGTAAACCAAAGTACCATCGTTAGCTTTGTGTCATTATTGTGTCGTGTCATCCTGGGTTGGATTAATCGAATAGTTCAACCGCTCTGATCCAGACATACCAAATTTCTCCCTTCCTCCAACCTGTCCGGCGTCTTACATCATGAGTATGAAGTTAATGCTACTCCCGCTGCTGACTGTGGTGGCAACCAGTCTGGCCCAGCAGAAATGCTGCTGGCCTGATGTTTTCGAAGTGGACGCAGGTAAGTTATATACTGTAGTCGGGGAGAGGATATCCCTATTTCTGCTATCTGTTCCTTAAGAAAACTTAACTCGAACATTATAAAAGTATATTTTAAGCCGTCTTATTATTGTGAAATTATACATTCCTCTTGTCAATTAGTTCCCTCTTCTATTTTGTTTTTATGCTGAATTACGTTAAACGATCCACGCCCCTTGCAACCTTTTGTCCACGCCCCTTACAACCCTTTGTCCTTGTCTGGCCAATATGCTGTCATTCATTACCTATGACACTTTCTTACATGGTTCTTTAGGCATTTAAAGTACAACAAATAGTTCCAACAAGTTAGCATTTTGCCGAGTCAAATGAGGCCTTAGCGAAAGCCTATACTATTTATTTGGTATGTAGGCCTAAACGCGCATTTGTAGCTCGATCGGAAAACCTGCCACAGTATTACCACATTTAATCCTCTGTTGTTGTTTTTTATTTGTCAGTGACAACGGTTGGCTCAGCTTTGGGTGGTAAGGGCACGGTCTCAAAGGAAAACCTCCACCTTGCGTATGATTATCCCAAACGGCGTTTGGCCGAGGTAACATACAAAATGGTTGCGGGGCAACGGACTGAATTCCGAATACTTCTTGAATATAACACAGTAAGTGATACAACCGACATTATTCGTAGGTCGACCGTATTCAATTTTTGAAACAAATTATTGTATCTGTATTAACCATGTATTAACATTGCTATCACATGAAATGTACGTTTGAGACCGGCCAAGCATGACTAACTCTTCTCCGCGGTCATTAGATGCGATTTTTCCCTGTCGTTTGATCTCGTTGGACAATATTTGTGCATGAGATCAATCCTTATTCAACTGATGAAAAACTCCAATCTGGTGCATTGCCATGGATAACAAGCCGTACACGTTCATTTTTTGCAGAAGCATGTTTTCAGTGATAGTTCAGTGATAGGAAGTACATAAAGACCAAGTAAATGTGGTAAGAAACGTATTTGTGGGTTGTGTCACAACCTGTGAATGTGGTTTTGAATGACTGCTGTTCTGTTTCATCCCTACATTTACCCAGGAAGTAGAATATACAATCCAGTCTAGTCCAGTTGTGTCGACTTGTACGAAGGCCAGTCTCCCACCACAAAGTAAAATGCCACACTGTATTCCTGGTAAGTGGTGTATGTTTCATATCAACCAACAAGAATTTCAATCGTGCCAAATTGAAATTTACAAACGGGAAGATACGATACCAAAAGTCTTAACTTGGATTTTAGTCAACTGTCTTTCATTCCTTAAATTATTTCCACACAGCGTGACTCCTTAATGTTCTGCTTGACAGTTACGAATTCTCAGATCGATTTCGCTTTTCAGGTGATCGCGGTTACCGATATGCTATACATCTCGAATTTGTCTGTGTTTTCATTTTAATTGTTGTTTGGTTCGTTTGTCGTGTTTTTAACAGACACAGCAAGCTTTCTGGGATCGAGCTACTTCGGTTATAAAAAGTTGAATGTGGACTTTTTCCAGTTCTACATGGCGCAGTCTATGGGCAACGTAACGGAGGTTGTTTCAAAGGGCGACTGCATTCCCGTTAGCACTACGACAGTCGTTCCGATCGGTATGTTACAATGGCAATCCGGAGACCAACTCTCAGTTCAAAATGTACTTTCATTTTATGCATTGAGCTGAGACCAGGGATCGATGTATTTTCTGAAAGCTGAGGGTCCAGGGTCACTCTTAAAACCCACCTTTACTGGCTCTAACATACTGAAGCTGGTTTTCCTTGGGAAAACATCTCGATTGCCGACACAATCAAATATCTCTAACAGTATTTAGCTGAACCAAAATACCAATAAAATAAACGATGTGAAACGTAGTGAAACGATGTTGGTCTCCAAACATATTCAACCAATACGAACAGTAGAGACCCATGATTATCAGTACACACGTGTACTTCATTCTGACAACTGTTGCTCACTTATAAGAAAGAGTTAATAAATTTGTCTTTTTTTATATCTTTCAGCTCAGTTAATCGCGAACATCGGCTACGTCAATTACACCCACGGAATCATTAACCCCACGAAATATTTCAACATACCCACTTACTGTCCTAAGGTAAGATACGCATATTGGAAAGGAAATCTTTTATGTAAAGCACATGCAAGTTGGAAGATAAGGAGTCAATTAGTCTTTGACAAGTCTCTCTGTGCAATCAGAGTTTATTTTTGGAAGGTACCGTTTCTATGTGTACGTGTATTCCACTATTTCATGTCATAAGTTTTATTTCCCACAGACTCCTACTGATGAGCTGGAAATGGCGGAAGTGACTCCCAGACTCATCCGACTTGTATAAAAATGGACTGGCCCCGCACAGTAACAACACCCTTGGCTATGTAGGCCTACAACCACGCCTCTACGGCATACACTCGATGAAGTTTTCCTCTTAGCATAGAAAGAAGAACGTCGGCTGATAATGACAATGATAATTGTTACATTATGAATGATGATTTATCTTTTAGTCAATTCTTCATCCTACATTTAGAGGCACTTTTTCTTGAAAACGGGTCCAGTGGCGTATATCTGTGTTGGAAATTGGGGGAACAGGGATTGGAAAAGGTGCGGGGTGACTTGCCCGGAAATGGAAATTTGGAAAGCGGGGGGGGGTACCAGATATACGATATAGGAATCGATGGTCATGATAAAGATGTACATCAGTAATGTGTATCAAATTCATGCAGAATCTTACATCAGAAGGGCATATTTACGCTTTTTAAAATGGTTTTCCCTTTTAATAGTGATATTGCAAAAACTTTAGTGGTTGAAAATCCTGCAAATTCTTCACAATCTGCCTGAATTTGTTTTGATCATCAAAAAAGTCAATAATAAGTCTCAAAATCAGTGTATACCACAACCTATGTCAGACCCATGGACGCAGTTCCATGGCCCACCAGATTCTTTCGATGAGGCAAAAGTGTTACGTATTGATGTTTGAAAGTAATGAATGTGGAGACTCAATCTTATAACAAAAGAAGCGAAATAGGCCAGATGATGTTCTACATTTGACTGTTCAAGTTTGGTCAAGGTGACGGGGGCGCCATTCTGTTTCCTTACGTTGGAACATGTTTATCACTTCTCGGTTCTATGTTCGGTTTCACCTTAGAAACCTTAACCTCAGCCAGTGACAAAATTGAAGTTAAATTGCGTTTGTTCGGTCATAATGAACGGGACCAGTGGATAATTTTCTAGGTTTTTTACAATATTGTCAAAACACTCACTGCGCTGCGTGTCGGGCTGTAAGCGTATCGTTGAAAAGGACCATATCTAATCATCCAGTTTCATTATCAGGCAGTAATTTGAAGCTGGAAAGTATGTCTGTGCATATCAGAGAAATTATGCCACAACTCACTATGTGTGCATGGGCGTCGCCAGGATTTTTCAGAGGGGGGGGAGTGCAAACCATTTTGTCCCCATTGGCTGGAGAGTTTCATGAGGGCAAGCTAGGGCTAGTGGTGATATATTTAAAGTAAATCCGGTACTTTCATCCCATTTCTTCTCAGATTTATATTTACTTCGTTTTTTGAACATTTTTTAATGTGCCCCCCATTTTTTCAAGGGGGGCAAGTATCCCTCTTGCCCTCGCGACGCCCATGTGTGTTTACTTTCATAAATGTATTTCACAATTTGAAACTTTTTTGAGGAAATTTCATTATCCGAAATATCCCGAGTTTGGGTGTTCAAGTCACCTGATTGTCACATGACCTAAAAAAAAACAGAGGAGGCAGTTCCATGGACTTGTCAACAACAATTCCAACCCACGAGCATTACCCTCCAGAGGAATCAAAAGTCCACTATAAATAGGTTGGTTGAAACTAGACTAGTCATAATAAAAGCAGAGCCGATAGCGGGGCAGTGTTTGATCATAGATCCATCAAGTGTTATAAACTCTGGCCCTTGGTAGCTCGCTGCACAGCACTAACATGAAGGCAGTAATCATGGATATTAAACCGGTGTTGTTTCTGCTTCTGGTCGCTGCGGCATTAAGCGAAGCCCATACTAAATGTTGTTTCCCTGACCAATTTGAAATCGACGAGGGTGAGTCTTAACTTTTAACCTCAAGAAAATTATTCCAATGTTTGAATTAAATTTCCGGCTACCTACTTAAGACTGTCGTTGCTCGTTACCTTCTATATACATTTTACAATTTTTCCGATTCGTGTAGTTTTTGAAATGAGATAGGGCCTACTCTTATAATGAACACTATTTTTTAAGCTGCCAAGTTAATGTTTACATCATTAACTCATACGTTCTTTGTTCTAAGCGATTTTTTAGAGGGTCACTCTACAACTGTTGCATGTCTACTTATACACACGAACCGATATCTTCCTTTAGCTCTATGTAGAGCATGATCGTTTTGGCAATGCTCATAATCAGATAAATAACCTGTTAATAAAAGAAAAACTTCCGAAGAATCTTTGTTAATTAACCCAGAGTCCACCCCTTTTTTAATATACTTTCCAGGTCAGATCGTGGGTTTCGTCCAATCGGGACAAGGTACGGCGGTGACGCAGTCTGCGCAGGCGGCTTTTGACTATACCAACAGACGAACGGGTGCATTGCTTCAATCCTCCGGCTTCAGATATCAAACCATCACCGACTACAATAAGGTTAAAATGGAAACTGCTTTCTTGTAACACACTGCGTGAAATTCCTCGTCGGGTATCTTCCCCCACACTTTTCAATTTTTGCCATCCCAAACGTTTTAGGGGTTATAAATAGGAGTGCTTCAAATATAGCTCTCTTAACAGTGTCAAGTGACACCATGGATTTTTAAAGCAAACGTAGTTGATATTCAGCCCCTTACCTTGTGTCATGCGGATTAATATGTGTTACAACACAAACAAGACTTTAATTCCTTTTTTCATCAGAAGAAAAAAGAGGGTTGGAGTTTTTCAATTCTTAGAAAACACTCTCAATTAACGGTTGCACGAAGGCGCTTTTTTGATGTTATCACACAGGGTACTTATTGTCAGTTGAACATCAGTACAAAATCACCCACCAACTATGTTCTGACGAAATGTTTAGCAAATTATAGTCCGAACGAGTCATTTAAAAGTGGGACGCATATATTGGACACAATTAAAGCTGTTGAGACACTCCTGTGCTGCCTTGAATGATATCATGCTTTGCAGCGTGAATATGGAAATCGTCACTAGTGTAATATCTAAAATATTGAAATTACTCCTATTTATCTCAACAAATGAGGCGGAGAGTCATCGTAACATGAACTAGAGCTGTGCGTCGTGTACAAACCTTAACAATCCCATTACATGTGCACGATTCTTTCCTGTAAAACTTCAGTACAAAAATTTGTTCACGAAAATTTAAGTGTACCGTTCACGATTGGCTGTGATATTTTGCCACATTCCGTCATTTGGTAATATGTTTGTGAAAGTTTTCTCTTCTTTTATCAAACCCGAATAGGGTGTCATGTACACCATCAACTTGACTTTGAAGACATGCCAGAAAACAGCACTCCCAAGTAGGACAATGGACCACTGCGTTCCTAGTAAGTAGCTCCCTGATCGAATAATCTTAGACGAGGGTTACATATCGTTGACAATTTGTCAAACCATCGTCTCAACGATCCCTGTCAGTGGAACGAGAGTATAGTATATCTAGTCCTACTTACGAGAGCACAAATTCAGCTCAAGGAGGAGAGATAAAATGCACATATCTCATATACGAAGCTCCGAACATTCCTCACCGCGCTTCAGGCCATAGTACAGAATCCGCCGCGCTTCCCAGTCGATACTGCGAGTCATGACTTGCCCATACTAAATACAGTGCGTTGGTACAGTGGAATATAATACACTCCATTTGTCTTTTCTGTCCTTTCATATCGATAAGGTTTACACCCGGCCGGGCGGGGAGGTACCACCAACCCCGACAGCATTTGACACTGTTTGATAATCACGTGATATGTGAGCATGCTCTGTGTCCGTAGGGCGTCGTCGCTGCTTATCAGTTTTGTCGTGTCTTTAGCTGTACGACTGGGACTAATTATAACACGTGAATACATACAGACTAGCCGTAACTGCAGAAGCCTGTTCTAGACACAGCCTTACTCTATGTAATCTCTCCTGTGTAGGTAACGCCACCTATGATGGCCCTTTCTATCTTGGAGAGTACAAGCTCGATGGGGATTCCTTCAGCTTCAGCGTAAACGCAGAAGGGGATGTACTTAAGGGGACCCTTTCTGTCACCCAGGGGGAGTGTGTCCCGGTGGGTGAAACCCTCTTCGGGACATTTAGAGGAAGTAAGCATGTATATGATGTGCAAGTGTTTTACTGGCGTACTTCGTAAAGTTGGACTTCAGTCTTTGATCTTGAGACAAATCTCGTCAGATGCTCATTTCAAGTCATAAGGCTTCAAACAATTAATCAAGATCACATTGGTTCTTTTCACTAAACTTAACGTGTATCTGCGCACAGAGAAGTAACCCCAAGAATTTGACTTTTGATATGAAATCTCAAAGAACGATTTAGGCCACGATTTTATGTCCATGAATAAATACATGTACACGTATCGTATCTCTCAAACACTCTAGTCTTCACATTACATATTAGACATTAAAGCCTTGCGTAGGTTGTCTTTTCGTTCGTTTGGTGATTCACGTCGACATTTAGAGTTCATTTTCTAAAACATGTTATAACTCCATCTTTATTTGTTTTATATTAATCTTTCTTCGAATGTGTGGGATCAAAGCTTCCTGAAACACTTCCAGAATTTAAGCCTACCAAGGTATATTTGTGGCATTGTTCTGTTTCAAGGACAAACGCTGATTTTAGCGGGATATGTCAACTTTTCTCCTTACATCAAGGATCCTTCCAAGTATTTCAACGTTCCCAATTACTGCTCTACGGTAAGTTTACAACTTCATATTGGCTGATAACAAAGGCCGCTTTTGAATGTCTTGGCTAGGGCACCTTCCATAGACACACGCATTGTTTCCAAACGTAGCCTAGTAAATTGGACACAGTTTATCTGAAGAGCCCGTCAGCGTGTCCGTTTATTCTATTATACAGCTTGTTTGGTAAAGTGAACCCTTTTAAACCTTGGATTTCTTTCTAACGAAACAATTATTAACAACTGAAAATAAAGTACTGTACAAATAATTTTTTTTAATTTCTTATTTATTTAGGGGTCTTTCAGCTCGGAATTAGATGAGGCGCTTGCTCACGTGACCCATACCTTCCTGTTCTAAATGTGCCCCCCCGGCAATTGTATGCGGCCCGGAACCGATTCATAATCTGAAGTTAAAGCAAGAATCATTTTGATTTGATTGATGCATTATTCTTTAGTGGTACATGTTAAATGAAAGGCAAGCAACAAAAAGTCTACTTTTTAAAAATAAGGGTCAATGTCTTGAGCCATTTGTAAAGAGCGTTACTGACATTTTGCTCTCCTTCTACGATGTCAATTTTTCTCACTTAATTTTTGAGACCGCAGAAGCACAAATTTCAGAACTTCTAAGACGGTTGACAGATTAACTCATTCCAATCTGGTCATTACCCTCTATCGGTAATCTTAAGTTACAAACTTTGTCTACTTCCACACTCATTATGGTATGCCTTCTGTACATCCATGCTAAAGCTCGTGATTTGCTACCATTTGTTGGATGGATAAAGCTCCTGGATTAAGCTTTATTTCAGAGGAAGACTGATGAGAATTGTCAGTTGCAGGAATTGAACATTTAAGCAGGCCAAAATGTTGTAATAAGAGACGTATTTGGGCACATGCAGAAGAATTGCTTTAGGGACATTATATGGAGGAAAGTCATGTTTCCAACATTTGCTTTCCTATGAGGTTTGGATTCGGTCTTCTCAAAGCATGTTACTATAATTCCATTATTTCTTCATGAAGAAAATTAGTAATGTAGAAAGGTACAAAGTGCTACACAGTGATTGAATCGTAAATTAAAAAGTCAAATCCGTCAGTTAAGATTGATGCGTTTTCTTATGTGTCAACTCTTAACATAATGGTGTGTGTTTAATAAGCAAATAGTTGATTAGTTAGACAAACGTTTACGCAAGAAAAAGAAACATAATGTGTGTTATTAGAAATTTCCAAAGCTTTTTTATGATTAAATGATAAAGAATGAGATCAGTGGCATAAATTTGTGTCGGAAACATCTATGCAGAATCTTACCTCAGAATGGAATATCTATGGCTTTTTCTTTGTTGAATATTGAATGCGTTTTAGTTGTTGGGAAGTAGGATAATTCTGCACAAAAGTGGGGGATTATTCAAAAGGCCACTGCCTCCTCAAAAGTGGGGGATTATTCAAAAGGCCACTGCCTCCTCAAAAGTGGGGGATTATTCAAAAGGCCACTGCCTCCTCAAAAGTGGGGGATTATTCAAAAGGCCACTGCCTCCTCAAAAGTGGGGGATTATTCAAAAGGCCACTGCCTCCTCAAAAGTGGGGG